TGAGCGGAAAAATAACAAACGAATGGTTTAAATACCATATATTTCGAATATATATTACAAAATTATCATATCTTTTTTTTACCAGAAATGTCATTACAGTATGGTCATTTTAGCAGAATTTTTTATTTCTCCGAGTAATGAGCCACATTTTCAAATTGTTCAGGAGAGAGTTTTTTAGTTAAAAACACCATCTTACTGCATGTTTTCACTAAACATGCAAAAAAATGTTTTTTCAATATTCTGCTTGAAAATACATATCTGGATACAATGTTAAGAAACAGATTGATGGGACCGGAATAGCCTAGTTAGTAGGATTTTGTGTTCGTATTTATCAGAACGAGAGTTCGATTCTCGTCAACCGAAGAATCCCCGTGTATTAAATGGTAACTGGTGCCTGTTAAACAGTTCCCATAACTAATCAATACCTCTGGAAGAGCCATGATGGCTCAGGGTATAGAGCGTTCGCTTTCCAATGAGGTGAACCGGTTTCGAATCCCAGCAATGGCTGGTCGATACGAAATCTGCATCGGTTTGCACCGACTGGTGTGCTGATGTAAAATATCCTCAGTGGTAGACGGATTATTGGTTAGAGTCCGTGTTTGTGTAGGTGTTCATGGTTTCCCTCTCCATGTAACTCCTCGCAAATGCGGATTAGTTCCATCAAAAAGTCCTCCAAGAAAGCAAATTTCTTCTAATACTTGATCCAGGAGTTCCCTTGTCTTCTAGATTGGTTTCAAAACAAGGCTACGGAGTTAAACATTAGTAGTCGTAAACCCAATAAATTGGGTCGACTGTTCAATGACGATTATAAAATAAATAAAATACCTCTGAAGGTGCTGAATTGGAGAATGTTCGTTCTCTGGTTTAGGTCAAAAATATGATCTGTGGATGAATGAATTAAGTATGATTGTGTCCTCCCTCTAAAACAGGCTGTGGCTGAAGTCGTAAACGTGGCTGAAGTCGTATATAAGTGACTATAAGTGGCTCCACCAAAAAATAAGAATCGCACCCTCAGCCATAAAGATTCCCCTGATTTCAAAAACAGGATTGCGTGTATTTTATTTCACAACCATCATTCAACAGCCAACCCAATTTTAGGTTTACAACTAATAATGCCAACTCCGGAAACTCCTGCATCAAGTAGTGGGAGAAATTTGCCTTTGTGGAGGACATTTTAATGGAACTAACCAGCATTTAGGTTATATGGAGAGGAAAATCACTAAATCCTCCCATGGTTAGCTTGACGGCAAAGGGACTCTAACCCATGGTTAGTCTACCACTGAGGATATTTTAAGTCAGCAGTGTGGTCGGTGCAAGCCAGGAGCAGAATTCGCATCGACCATTCAACGCTGGGATTTAAACCAGGATAACCTTATTGGAAGACGAACGCTCTATCCCTTGAGACATAAAGGCTCGGCTTGCATGCATTGACAAGAGGCATAAGTAAAAACAACAACAGATTGACGTAAAAATGTTCCTCTTAGAAAGTGAGAAAAGCGTTATATTGTCCACAGCTCTCTACTTTTTTCTCTTTTTTAATAATTTTAAACATTAGACTGCTTTGAATCGTTTCAATATTTTCTTCATATTAATGAAAATGATTTTAGTAACATTTTATTCATAGTTTAATAATTAATAGTAATTTAATAACATTTTGATATTTTCTTCATATTAATGAAAATGATTTTGGTAACATTTTATTCGAAATTTATTAATCAATAGTAGCATTTTATAATTTAAAATAAGGTAGACTACTTTTTTTTTCAATTAATAATTATTTAAGTTAACATTTTATTCATTATTTAATTAGTATTGGCATAATAATAATTTAATAATAGAATGCAGTAAATACCTTGAGCGTTTAGAAACAAGGCGATACTGGGAAATCAGATGTATTTTTAAAATTTAAAATAGTTTAAAAGCAAATAATAGTAGCTTCATATCAATTATTTCTATTGTTTATCAAGTAAAAACTGCCAGAAGAGCATTATATTCCCTAATTTTAAAATGTGTCAAACTATAACATATCAATTATTCATGGATTATGCAAAAGATAAATACGCAAATAATAATTCAAATTCTAAAATTCATCATAAGCTGAAATTTTAAACATTTGTTTTTAGATGATCCTCATATCAATAATAAAATTAATACCACATCGCTATAGATTTATGAATCATTTAAATATAAACCTTAGAATTGTGAGATTGTAAGATTAGAATTGTATTTTTTACAATTATAACGCAGAATGTATATTTATCTTAAATATTAGNTTCCGGATAATCGGTTCCCTACTGTACTATGAGAGGAAAAATAACCAAACGAATGGTTTAAATACCATATATTTCGAATTTATGTAACAAAATTATGATATCTTTTTCTTTAACAGAAATGTCATTACAGTACGGTAATTTTATCAGAATTTTTTTTTCTCCGAGTAATGAGCCACATTTTCAAATTGTTCAGGAAAGAGCTTTTTAGTTAAAAACACCATTTTACTGCATGTTTTCACTAAACATGCAAAAAATGTTTTCTTAATATTCTGCTTAAAAATACATATCCGGATACAATGTTAAGGAACGGAGTGATAGGACCGGAATAGCCTTGTTAGTAGGATTTTGGACTCGCATTCATCAGAACGAGAGTTCCATTCTCGCCAACCAAAGAATTCCCGTGTATTAAATGGTGACTGGTGCCTGTTAAATAGTTCCCATAACAAATCAATATCCTCTCGAAGAGCCATGATGGCTCAGGGTAAATAGCATTCGCTTTACAATGGAACCGGATTCGAATCCCAGCAATGGCTGGTCGATACGAATTCCGCATCCGGCTTGCACCGAGTGGAGTGCTGATGTGAAATATCCTCAGTGGTAGACGAATTATGGGCTAAAGACCCCTTCCCATCAGGCTAACCGTAGGAGGTGTTCGTGGTTTCCCTCTCCATGTAACTCCTCTCAAATGCGGAGAAGTTCCATCAAAAAGTTCTCCACGAAAGCAAATTTCTCCTAATACTTGATCCAGGAGTTCCCTTGTTTTCTAGATTGGTTTCAAAATTTCAAGACTACGGAGTTGTAACCCAAAAAATTGGGTCGGCTGTTCAAGGACGATTGTAAAATAAAATACCTCTGAAAGCGCTGAATTGCAGAAAGATCGTTCTCTGGTTTAGGTCAAAATTATGATCTGTGGGTGAATGAATTAAGAATGATTGGATCCTCTCTCTAAAACAGGCTGTAACGTGTCTGTGTGGTTGAAGTCGTATTCATGACCATATATGGCTCAACTAAAAAAATAAGAAGCGCACCATTAGCCTTAAAAATTCGCCTGATTTCAAAAACAGGCTAGAGTGTATTTTATTTTACAACCATCGTTCAACAGCCGACCCAATTTTAGGCTTACAACTAATTATGTTCAACTCCGTAGCCTTGTAAACTTGAACCCGATCTGATCTAGAAGCCAAGGAAACTCCTGGATCAAGTATTGGGAGAAATTTGCCTTCGTGGAGGACATTTTAAAGGAACTAACCCGCATTTGTGTTACATTGAGAGGAAAACCACGAAAACTTCCCATGGTTAGCTTGATGGAAAAAGGACCCATGATCCGTCTACCACTGAGGATATTTCAAGTCAGCACTGTGGTCGGTGCGTGCCGGGTGCAGAATTCGTATCGACCAGCCAACGCTGGGATTCAAACCTGGATCACCTCATTGGAAGACGAACGCTCTATCCCCTGAGTCATAGCGGCTCAGCTTGCATGTATTGACAAGAGGCATAAGTAACAACAACAACAGATTGACGTAAAAATGTTCCTCTTAGAAAATGAGAAAAGCGTTTTATTTTCCACAGCTCTATACTTTTTTGTTTTTCTTTAATAACTTTAAACATTAGACTGTTTTGAATCGATATTTTCTTCATATTAATGAAAATGATTTTGGTAACGTTTTATTCGCAATTTAATAAATAAAAGCAACATTTTATAATTTAAAATAAGGTAGACTACAATTTGATTTTTTTCAGTTAATAATTATTTAAGTTAACATTTTATTCAGCATTTAATTAGTATTGGCATAATGATAATTTAATTATAGAATGCAGTACATATCTTGAGCGATTAGAAACAAGGCGATACTGTGAAATCAGATGTATTTTTAAAATTTAAAATAGTTTAAAAGCAAATAATAGTAGATCTTCATATCACTTATTTCTATTGTTTATCAAGTAAAAACTGCCAAAATAGCATTATATTCCCTAATTTTAAAATGCGTCAAACGATAACATATCAATTATTCATGGATTATGCAAAAGATAAATATGCAAATAATAAATCAAATTCTAAAATTTATCATAAGCTGAAATTTTAAACATTTGTTTTAAGATTATTTTCATATCAATAATAAAATTAATACCACATCGCTATAGATTTATGAATTATTTAAATATAAACCTTAGAATTGTGAGATTGTAAGATTAGAATTGTATTTTTTACAATTATAACGCAGAATGTATATTTATCTTAAATATTAGAAGCTTAATCAGAACTCAACTCCACTCTTCTCCAATCTTATGTAAACTATCAATTATCTTTTGTCTTAAAGTAACTCATTATAAAAACATTTTCAAATCATTTGAAAATTTGAATGCAAATCCCCATATATATCGAACGTTTTAATACACCGTGCAATAAAAGAAAATAGTAACTATATAATTGCTTTATAATTTACAGCATTTTCGAAAAAAATTTAAAACAATTAATGAACATATATATA